TGTGGAATGTGCGAACAGTTGGCATGTGTACGAGGCTCACATAGATTTTATCTATCCTAAACCCCCCTCTCCGGTATGCTACATAACCTGACTGCTTATTGTCAGTGTTACCTCGTAGTTCATCCTCAAACCCAGGATGCTGGTGAAAATTATTCTATTTGGATTGGCGGGCACCAAGTAATCATTCTGGTTGGTGCCCCCCGAGATCATCGTAACCGGTGGCTAGAGACCTTGTGTGATAAAGCTGAGTGTCGGAAACAGCGGCGCTGGTACATCTACTCTTTGTTCTTGTAACCTTAGTCCATGTGAATTCTCCATCCTCTCTTAAACACCACTCACCACATTCCATTCTTCCTCCTGCTCTTTTATCCAAGTTATGAGATAGCAATCAAAACTGGTGCATGGAAAGGCATGGTTAAAACAGGGAAACTGAACTGGTTGATCAATCTGCCCAAAGTGATGGCGAATGTAATGGTGTCTGCGTACGGTTGCCCCTACGTTCTGGTATAACTGTAGATTACTTCCGATATAATGAATGAACTCATATCGTGCTACAGTTATCATCGTTTGTAACAAATGAAAATCTACAACTTTCTCAGCTTCGGGTGTTGTGTGAATAGTTCAGTCAGTTTCTGTGGTCTCGGGCTAGATAGAAAAATAGGGGACTCTCCTTAAATCCGTTCAATAGCAAAATGCATATACTTGTTGTTGGAAGTCCATTAGATGGCACCGACGATTTTTGCCGTGAACCTATCCTATGTGTCTAGGATAATTCTCCTTACTTCTGTGGTACATCATCACCCAACACACGTGGTTGACGTTCCAATGGCATCAATCACTGTCACTGTTTCTTCAGACTCCGGAATAAAACTCCACCACGCTGCTGCTGTGATAGACAATCTCGTTTCCGAACCCACTCAACTCTACATCAGTTTCAACATTAGTTCCAGCATCTAGATTACCGATCTAGTCGAATTCTGGCAACTTGCGGTTCTGTCATTCTACTGTTCATCACTAGAAGGTATGCAACAAAAATCCGTGATTACAGAACCGATTTCCAAACTGGAAAATCGTTCAAACACTGGTGAACAAAGGTGTAGCGTCATCGATGGCTCACCAACTATCTGTACTAGTCTGTAACCTAAGAATATTCACACATTAAATTATTATTTGTTGATCTAGTCCCTAGTTTTATCCTTGACTTGTTTGACATTGCAGCAAATTTTCCCATACGTGCTCAAACACACGGCTCTGTGATCCTATCATGTTTCTGTTGTATAATACGAAAGATAAAATTATTAACTAGAACTTGGAGTGGTGATGGTGGTCCACATCTATCATGTCCGATCACGCACCTATGAAATCCTTTCTCTAGGCCACACCCGTGCAAAGTTACGGTTCTGTACAATTCGTACAGAACTAAAACCAACTTTCAGTCTATAGTGTAGACCTGCCTCTGCAGTCTGGTTAAGATAGGTAGTCACAATCTTGACTTTGGTAATCTCCATTCGGAAATGTAGTTAAATGTGTTAAATGGTGGACATCGATTATCGCACAAATCCACAACACCAGAGAGATATTCTCCTATGAAAATGATTTGCAATTTGGTTTGATCAGCACCACATAAAAGCTTTTGCTTGACAACATTCTTCATCGTTCATCTGCTGTATTTCCATTGTTCGTACCCAATAGAGGTTATAGAAATCACACCCCCATCAGATAACAGTGCAGGAATCCTGCTAATTCACCTCGCCGTTGTTGACAGAAAGTTATATGCGTTCTGTTTCACAAGTTTATCGAGCAATTTATTCCCATGATCCACTTCTTGCTTGTGTAGGTTAATTTTATTCAATCCATAAGGCGCGCCTCAAATCAGTTCTTCACAAAACCGGGGTTTCTTGTTTGTATGGTTTACTTTCAAATCCTCGCACTTCTGTTTTGAAATGCTGCTGAGAGCTGCTCTAATACCATCGAGAAAACTGCATTTTTATTTGCTATATGTGCAGTACATTTTATCAAGTTGCTGAACTTGCGAAGGTTTATTGTCTTATACATGACTTGCTTGGTTTTATCAGTAGTCACCCGAGCCACAACGAGAGATTAACCTGGAAGACTTCGCTCTGAATTTCCGATAGATTAGTCCAACCCGCCAGGTAACGAATTGGTGCTTCAAGTCCGCGATCCATTGAGAGTACATCAGTCGGATCATACGCGAATCATACGGTGCTCATAATTAATAGTGACCAGTGCAGCCGGTACATTATATCCATTTCCGTTCATGCTGCATCCTGGGTGGTTGGAGATCATAGCTTCCACAGACGACCTGTCTATCGGCGCATCATAAACTCGTTTACAGCTCCAGAGATTGCTTTTTCGCGCTCTCGTTAAGAAATGCTAATGAATAGGATTTCCCCTATGAGGCATGTGAATGCAGGTAATTGGAGGTATTCAGGAAGAAAAGTCGAACATGGCGAAACTTCGCCATGTCATTGGAACTTATTAGTATTATTACTAGTATTTTTCACACTTGTCTGAGGAGAGACTGTGTGACAAGCAAATCATGGTGCAATAATCTTTATAAAAAAAAAATGTTCCATGATTGGCTTGTGGGCTGAATACTGCCAGGTTGCCCAGGCCAAGGCAGATGTATTCTCTTGAGGAATTCACTACCAGAGCTTTCGGCTAGCCAAGGCCTAACCCTCAAGGCAGCAGGGCTGTGTGTGGAAACCGCAGTCCATTGGGAGCCGGTGTCCAGTTCATCGGATCATACGCCCTTCGGACGGGGTCAGACGTCCAAGGTGCCCAATACACCTCAATGCCCAATCGAGCCGGTGACCACTGCCACAACCGGTAAGATGTTTGTGTGGTTCGTACGCCTCCTCTTGGTTTGAAATCAGGGTTTTTGGCCAACTCCCTTAAGTGAACTACCAGTGGTCCACCATCTCGGTTATAGCCGCGGATGTCGGTTTTCCATCCTCTCACTTTGATGAGAAAACACCTCCGCCACGAGAAGGCAGTGAGTAGGGCTTCCTCAGCAGAGGCTTTTTGAAACGCTTGGTCGTATGGGGGCATTTCGCGAGATGCAACGGCAGGGTGACCAGGCGCAACCCTAGACACCCACCCTCGACCATACTGAGGTTTTCGGAGGCAACGTCGTTTTTACCGTTTATTCAGTTGATCACAGTTAGCTTTTTAATGGTTGACTATTCTCATCGCGGTTCTCCTCCACCGGCGGTGAACTCCAACATTCGTGGGTTTACGCAAGTCTGAAAACCTGACCTGTTCTCACTCACGTTTGGTCACTCTGCGATACTCAGTTATGTTCAAAGCTCTATGCCGCAATATCTACAACCCTTATCTAAATATACAGATAACCTCATATTTTTCTATATTCGTCATCACTGTTACTATTCAGCTTTGTAATTAAGATTCTTTTCACTTTTTCATTAAGCGCATTACATGCTTCATCCGTGCAACTTAGTGACAACTGATAGTACAGTACATTGTTCAACCAAATCAATCAAATAATGTCTTTGACAGTCACTGAGGCCATGGTGGTCTCAAGCATGATTGACTTTCATCTCGTTAACATCTATGTTTGCTTTTTTTAGTGTGATGCGTCTGTCCTCGTTAACTTATTTAAACGGCTTTCACTTCTCTATTGTCCAAAATTGTTCTTAATGCGTATTGCCTACTCCTCAAATATTGTGAGACCAACTTTGTCTTTGATGCTGTGTGATACCAGTGTCTACGATACGAACATCAATGGATCAATGCGCCTCACATTCAGATCGACTGCTTCATTTTGTTTGCTTGCGTTTTGATGTTTATTGACCTTGGTTGCTAATTGATAATTGTGACTATGGATGTGCGTCTGATTCGACATGGTAACAGTTTATCGTCCCTTTATGGTGAAGTTCTGTCATACAACCAGCTAGAAAAATTCGCACCATATTCTTGTCTTCATTTTTTCGACGTTAAAAGATTTGTGTTGTATGCCTGAGTCCTTCGAGCTAATTGGTCCACATGGTTGTAAATTGGCACTATTTGATATTCCACAAAATCTGCAACGGACAGAATACCTGTTCGCTACCCGATACAGTAGCACACCTCCGATACTTCGTTTACTATGCGACCAATTCTTGTCACCGTGCCGTGGGTTTCGGTTTATGCAGGTGTATAGAGGTGGATTGTATTTACAGATTCAAGTGCAGATCAAAACAACGCTTATTGGTCTGTTTTAACAGCTACATTAAAAATTGGAAATGCCATTTCATCCTTGCTAAGACAATTATATTTAAAGACTAAACGACACGATTAATTCCTTTGACTTTTCACTCTCAGTATGCTGCCTAATCAGCCAATCCACTGACCTGGTACTCAACCAAAATTGCATTGGCAACTACTGGTAAGGACCCCCATATTGTTCATCTTCCGAAAGTTCATATCCCAGTGTGACTGAATCTGGATTCCCATATGTGCGTTTCTTTTTATTTTCGTGCAATCAGCTCTTATGGATGGCAGTGAATGAAAAAATCCCTCTCATGCCCGTTAAATGACGGCACTTTCACTTGGTTATGATAATAATAATAATAATAATAATTGGAAACTTTTTAGATTAAGAAAGCACAAAACCATAACTTAATTTGCATTGTATCTATTCTGATAGGCGATTAGGGTCTTCTAATCGACCTTACAAGCCAATTTATTTGAGGAATTTAGTCTTTACCAATAGTCATTTGCCTCGGCTTTATTGTTTTATTCTCATTCAACGGAATTCCTAATATGTTCTATATCACAACTTTACAATAGTATGTGTGTTTGTCACCATCTAACAATCAACTTGTATCCTGCAAGATATCCCCTGTAATATTCATGTAATCCTCGCAGCAGCCAAAACCAGTCCGCGAAAGTGCATAGTTAATGGTTGTTAAAACTGAAACTGAAACGTATCAAAATCATTAAATATACAAGCAGTTGAGGTGGAACCAACAAACCTCATGAATACTCCAGCCACAGCCCTTATAGCTCACTGTAATCGGCCTAGTGTAAGTGAAATCATTACCGGAAACATAACCGGAGAATAGCGTTTTTTTCCTGAAGTTTGCAAGACCTATCTACCGTCACTGGTTGGCTGTCTGAGGCGAGGCATTCTCGGCTTGTTTGGACACGGCCAAGAGACGTGACAAATCGGTGTGTCATAACTATCCAGCGTGATCCATTTTACTGTTTACTGCTTGACTGCTGCAGCAGCCCAACTCGGGCCTCTGAATCATGGGGAATTCCGGTGTGATAGAGACTGTTTACTCCTCCGCGAATAGTGGAACATCGCGATAAACTCCAACCTTTACCTAGTTTTATCAAATTTCAGGCCCACAGCGATTTGGTCAATCGTGAATCTCTCTGGGCTTTGATAAAGTTTGTTCGGATACCTGAATAAATCTTAGGGTCTCAGGGGCAAAATTAAATGCATACCAGTGTGATGGTCCGTATGTATGTCAAAGAATCATCAAGCTCTGCAGTCCGTACCGGATTTAGACAAAGCTGTCCGATTTCACCGATCCTGTTCAACTACACCATCGATTGAACGGTGAAACAGGACTGACCGGCTCACCTGCCCTGCAGGTTAGTCAAGAAAATTGCCTATCGGACCTGAAGTTTGCGGATAATATCCCTCTCCCTCCCTCGAGAGATTCACCTTTTTTGCCGCAGGACGGTATGTTCTACAATGATTCTTCCTGTCCAGCAGCCGTTGTACCTTGTTAACGCCCTGCTCAGTTGGTATGTACATATATTTATCTCAAGTTATCTTCGATCAATCCCACTGTACTTTGCTGTACAGTGATGAAACTTATCGAATCATGACTACAATCAATATCGTTGACCTGCATTCGGTTTTTGTACATATGCAACGCCTGTATGTTAATTAACGAGATCTCTAAGTTCATCATGCACTGTTTCATGTGCTAGTGCACATGACTCCCCACTGAAGGGCACGCTTGCTTGCTTCGTTGTTGTTGTTGTTCTATTCTTACACACATCATTCACGAGTCAGCAAGCAGATTGATGGTCCGTGCAATTTTCGTTCTTGGGTGCGTGAAAAGCTTTCAATATATCTTCGAGACCCCTAACTAGTCTATAGACCCAGGACGATATCTCTTTTCCTGACTCCTGTTTATGCAACAAATAATTGAAAATTGCACGTCTGTGGGATAAATTGACGCTGGCTTAGAACCTGTAGTTATAAGACTCATATTTCGACTCGTACCTTTAGGAATGTGACCATCCTTACTCTCTGTATCTGTATATATTTCATCATAAGTAGTATGTGAATAACTGGACAAAATTTCCCCGGAAGCACACGACCGGTTTCGCGGTCCTTGCCGCTCGTCAGGCATGCGTATCCGGTAATCTTTTGTCAGTTCATTCATATATTTGTGCCCAGGAAGTGTATTTTCGTCACAGCCTTGTTTGCATATATATATATATATATACTGAAATTAAACGTCCTAGTTATAGACCCCGATGTATGTTGTCAGCAGCTTTTGTATCATAAGGGCCTTCTTACTGAAAGCTGACTGTACTTTTTTGTACACAATAAGTAAAAAGGAAATAAAAAGATTTATTTAGTGATTTCAGCTTTAGTAGGTGTGGGATACAAAACCTTGCAGGTTTTTTCACGTCGTAACTTAGTACGAAATTGTTGATTGTTCAACTCAGTTTAAGGAACATCGTTTGCCCTACTTTCCTTGTTCTCTTAGCATTCTTTTTTCTTTTCCCCTACCATAATTGCAAACTAATGATCTAAGCGTTTGGCGATTGTTTTCTTTTTTTGGGAGGAAGCAGTGATTGGGGATGCAGGAAAATTTGATATTCGATTCTTATTCGTCCCCCCCCCCCCCCACGTCTTGAACGCTGTTCCTAATACCTAGCAGAGATTGATTGTTGAACAGTCATTCATCAAAACAAACTGTCTATTTCGTGACTCTACGATCGCCAGCGTAGATGATAAGCAATATCGTCTCTTTATTCACGAAACTCTGAATAGCGTGCTTCATACCCTTAGGAATCAACAAATTGCTGTACACCTTTTGCTATATAAAACCGATGGATTAGTTGGCTAATAAATCTCCCTGGCTGAATTTCATGGGAAAAGTGATTTTTTTGTTTCAAACACTAGCAATACAACTTCAGACCGAATAGAACTTACTGATCGTCATCTGTTGCTAGCTTGCATTCCGTGGTTCTGCTAAATTGCGCGTAACACGCATTATGCTCATATTTTTTGTTGCTAACGTATCAAGTCAAGCATATGCTTTATGCACCCCGAAGAGTCAATGTTTATCACAATGTTTCAGTCCAAGCTGTGTAAAATAGCATCACTTCGTTTCCACGACCAGAGTGCTTCAAGCGTTTTTTCTGTAGCTAGTCTATCCGGTATTCCGAGCCATCTGTCGATTCAGGTGGTTCACAACTAGTTTTCTACCGCATAAGTTAATAATTGAATACAATGATTCACCGGCTGTTCTTCTATGCTTTGTTTTCACTTTTGTCACGAACTTCAGTGTCTCCTCGTCTTGGTGACAGCGCATTCAAGCAAGCGGTGGTAAGGGTCAACCATCACTTATGTACTCACTCACTCCTTGTCATCCAAGTCCAAATGGCACTCGGCAAACTCGAATAATTTGTACACGCACCGTCAAAAATGCGTGCATATTTAATCGGCGGTTCGTAGATTACGCTCTTTTATGTCCTCTCATTTAAACACTCCTGGAAGAAATTGTGATGGGGATCGACGAGCCATTAGTTTGTACGTTCCCTCTTTGATGTAACCTGTTCATACCGAAGAGTTGTAACCGATCTGTCATTGTAAGCAAGTAGTTGACTACCAGGAAATTTGCTTTCACCTCCTGCTTATTGCGTTTTGAATAAAAAAATACGTACTAATTTCTTGTTTAGGATTGTTCACATTCTTGGACAAGCATGTACAGTTATTGTGCGTTCTGGTTTCGCGCATATTTAATCCTCGTTCACTTAATTAGAGATCTTTTTAAGCCATGCACGATAACTGATGCTTTACCATCCAATCGGTCTCGTGTCTTTGATCTTGTCTAACACCTGCCCATTTTCTTGCCCGACAGATTTTTCTAAACAACGAATACAGCAGCACCATTGGCGAAGGGGGCAGTTTTGGTGAGCTGGCTCTAATCTATGGCACACCGCGTGCGGCCACAGTCAAAGCGAAAAGCGAGGTAAAATTGTGGGGTATCGATCGGGACTCATATCGTCGCATTTTGATGGGAAGCACAATACGACGGCGAAAGATGTATCAGGAATTTCTCTCACGTGTGCCCATATTAGGTGAGTAAGTGGGCAAGGATAAATTTACTCGTGCATTTTTTCCAATCTTTTATTTATTTTCAAGATATCCAGGATGTATCTTTTTCCTGAGTATTCTCGGCTATTTTAGCTAATGATGCTCTCAGTCCATTAACAACTCCGGCTCAATAACCAGTATTTTAGTGCCATTTTAACAGGTTGTTTCTTGACGAACTTACTGTCACAATTAGAGAAGTCCACTATCCGTTTTCATGCCGTTCTGTCCTTGTGTTCACTATTCTAGATAATCTGGATCAATGGGAACGTTTGACAGTTGCTGATGCCCTAGAACCCGTACGTTTTGAGGATGGCGAAGTTGTGGTTCGTCAGGGAGAAGCCGGTGACGATTTCTTCATCATTACTGAGGTAAATTGCTTGCTTTTTCCGTTTGGCGGCACAGTTTATGACACTGCCGTGTTCGAAGATGACCGTATTCGAGAAAGGTCCGGTTTCATGAAGTGCCAACATATCTTTTAGTGTATTGCAGATACTACCTTGAAATTGTCGTACACATCTATGATTTGGCCCCAGGTTTATTATTGCAACTTGTTAGTGCAGTCCATTTGCTTCATGCTCTCCTCGTTCACTGATATATCGGAGCAGTGAAGAAACCGTAAATAAGTTACTGTTACTTGTCAAAGATGTTAGCATTCGTTAGCATTTTTTTACTATTTTGAAGCTTCTATGAATTACAGATGAACGCTTTCTGCAACATCTCCCGTTTTGTTTTTTCTTCTTGAATAAGATCTAGTCGCGTTAGGCCTCCCGATTAGGGATCCCAGGGCAAGCCTAATTGATGAGTAAAGACCCTGATGATATGGGTGTCGTGAACACTGGCGCCTGTCCATCTACTCTTTTTCTTCGTGAATTTCGTTGAACTCCCTTCTTTTTATTCTTCTACTACTCTCAACGTTCTGCTTTCTTCGTTTTGTTTCCTTTCTCACTAAATGGGCAGTTGAAAGACAGTAAATCCAAACGGCCACTTGAAAGTGCAGGGTTAACCGTTCGATAAACTATAAAAATTCACTGCTTAGTGGACTCAATGTTGTACGAACTTGTGATAGTAACACAGTCTTAGATACTCGTGCATATACTGAATTGATTCTGTTTATAGAATGAAAAGATACGAATGCATTTGTCGAACAGATAATAGCACAGTCGATTTTTTAGGATGTGGTCTGCAACCGATTCAGAGGATGCTGGAATACATCAGAACAAAATAGTTTATCCCTGCAGGTGCTGCTTATGTGACTTTATCCAAACGCAGTAAGACGTGCATAAAAAGAGTAACTCTGACGAATATCAACTTCCTGTTGAGGTCCAATATAACTTGTCGTAACCGTGAAATTTGATACAAACGGGCTTGTAGGGGGATTTAATGACGTAAGTAAATCCTACTAATGTACCTTTTGCAGATCCAGAATAGACTGATTGATGAGGTCGAAACCAATGGAAAGTATACGTATTTTTAACTTGAATCGGAAGTTCGATTGAAGCATGGTCTGATTCTCTTTCTGCGGAATCCATAGCAATTAGGAGCATAAAGCCCGGAGTTCTACAAGTAAAGTAATCTGGTTCAAGCGCTGCTGGCACCATGGCTATAGGAACAACTGGCCATATTTCTGTGACACTTTCTGTTCTCTCCCTCCCCCCACTCCTCCTTTACTATCTTTTTGCGCACACTTTCACATCTGTTTTATTCATTTTTGACTGACATCTTTCATGTTGTGTCCAGTTCACAAAATTTTCATCCGGTTTTTCCATATCGATTTATCGTGACTACTTAGCTTGTTGTCAACCGAACATTTTGCACACAGACATACATTCAACATCAGCCTCGGCCTTGCATTAACCTACTGACTTATCGAACCATATATGTAGATGCCTAAAGCGATATATCGAAGGGTAATTTCTTCACGTTCCGCTCTTGTTCTAATGTATCAATGGGATTATTTCACGATCTTCCGTATGTATCGTTAAACCTATTGGACAGTAGAGGATAACGCTGGCAAACTTATTAGATGTGACGATTGTTAGACATAATCCCTTGTGACTTCCACAGTGGAAGCAAGTAATACACCCAGTTGACTGTGGTTTATTTTTCAACATTATTCAGGGTTATTCTCGCCTACTTCATTGCAGTTTGCAAATTATTTGGAGATCATCTTTATAGCTTGTCAACCACAACACCGATTCTCTATCACGATGCATATAATATTTTAGGTTTCATAGTTCACTCTATCTTCTCCTCAGTTGGAAAATCTGCATCCGTTTGCGTTGCTTGACCAGCTTATTCTTACTACCACTCAACTAAATAAACTTCAGAAATACCCTAGTGAACCAGTTATATCAGTGTATTGCCAATACCATCCTAGTTACAAAAAGCTCTCCCTGAAAGCATCTGCTACCATTTTCATCTCTTCAAGTGTTTTTCGTGGAATCAGGCTGAGTAAAGCGAATCACATTATGCGAATAGGGATCAATGTCTTCTTTGTTCACGGGCACCAAACTGGCAAGTCGCCTGAATAAAAGCAACTAAAGTTGAGTTTTCCCTATTCTGTTCACACATCCAGGTTACCCAGTTCAGCCAATGACTAAGCTGTCCGCTCGTACCCTGGGAGGATTTAAAACCATGACTTTCTAAATGAACGTAATTTACCGCGGATCATCTATCGAGTTATATTTCCTAAATAATGAACTTTCGTGAAAACGTCCTAACAAGAGTAAGCAGTGCGTGGAACTTCCTCTGCAGGCATATCCAGAGCCACTGTCCATTAGAGCATTTCCTTGGTCGAGAATAAGGCTACTCTCACCGATGGAATTATCAGGACTTAAGAAGGTTTTATCGCTTGTTGTTAAGTAGAAAACGGTTCTCTAAACGTATCCTTCAAGGATAACTAATATTGCCTCATTGACATGTGACTATTTATTACTAGTTCCTTCCAAAAATGCAAAAAAGATCAAAGGTTCGAACAGGGTTTTCTTATATTGTATCAGGTGAAATACTCAATCTTATTACCTGTTCTAGAATAACTTGTCTCAGTTGTTTCCCTGTAACCGTACACTCAGTCAACGTCATCGCTATCTCAATTCGTCGCTTGTCATAGGTTTAGTGAAATTAATGTCGCGTGAACAAATTGTTATCTGGAACCTACTCAGTGCGGTGCTTCCTAAAAAACAGCCATCACTAGATCAGGGCTCACTTCCGCCCTCCCCTATAATCCCTTTTTAATTTCAGAACTAATGTTACTCGACGCGACAAAGGAATCTTAGTGGACAGTTCACAGTACTAGAGGGAAAGTGGAGTTACGTCCTGCTCAGTTTTCTCTTGACGAATGATCATAGTTCCGCCTGTGATTTAAACGAGACTCAGTGGTCTTGTCCAAGATCCTCAGCAGGACAAAAGATTTGGTTTGGCAATCTTCATTAGATGTTTTCAAAATATGACACCTCCGTCACTTCTTTCTACTCATTCGTAGTTATGACTGATTTTCCGATGAGGTGCCACCCGATCATTAAGAACATGATTAACCTTTCTAAGTCGCGCTAATTCGAAAGAATAACCTAGGATTAGTGCTCCGTAAGGTTAGGCATTCTAACTGTCAGTTGTCTTTTCAAACGTGCTTATCTCCATGTCGTTCTGTCGTATGGATACAAATATCCGTGCACTGTGCGTTCGACTATGTCCGATTTATTCGAATCCATTGATCATTTCACAATTGCACATACTCCAATGACATGCTAACTTGAGTTAATATACAACTTCATCAGATGCTCATCACCCCATACGTGATAAAGGAGCACGATTCATTTTTTTATTACACGAAAGTGAACACAGTAAAAGGACTAAATCCCATGATCCGAAGATATACTGTAAGTGGGAAGGTATGGAAAACATTCAAGCTAGAACCAGCTTGCTGGTTCTGAGCTTAAAAACAAGGATGTTTTACGTTGGAGAGAAGACCGAAGAGGAGGGGGGTAGTGCTGTTCTTGGGAGAAAAGATGATTGAAAGTTATAAATGAGGCACATGGGGATAATCAATTGAAATGGATGGCTATCCGCTTGTGCGTGGGATCTGCGAGTAAGAACGAACGGAGATGGACAGAAGCAGAAATTTCATTAGAGCAAAAGCAGTATCGATAAAACGGATAAAGAGGCGATTGCCCGACGGTGAGCTAGTGACTGTAGGTTGCTTGTTAGAGACCATTCGTTGATGAGACGGGTGGCCTTACGTTGAACCCGATCAAGAAGAGAGAGGTGGGCGAAGCTGTGCCCCACACGTGACTGCGATATTCAAGTGTATAGCGGATCTGAGCTTTGTAAAGTGAGAGGTGAATGGGGATGAAAGAACGTCTGGCGTGGAAGAAGAAGTCGATTTTGCGCACCGCGCGGGAGACCAGCTCAATCTTTACAACTATTAATCATGCACTTTCGTGCGCCGGTTTCGGTTGCTGTCTTTTAATGCCCCATTTGCATAAAACAGCAGAATGAAGATTGGGATGTTGAAAGCAAATTCAAGCGGAAGAACTCATTTAGAGTGGTGTTAGGAAAATAATCAGTGGATGAACGAGCCCCACTGTTTGCGACNAATAAGTATAAGGTGACCATGAAAGAGAAGATCAGGAATGACTCAATAGGTTGCATGTTTCTGAGGAACAGAGAATGTCCTAGTCAAAATTCAATGATGGGGAGAAAGGTGCGTGATCTAGAGAAGTGGGCATAGTGAAAAATTCGACGCCGAGATCGAGACATCGGCGGAAAAACCAACATTCATTCCAGGGGTAGGTAACCAGAAAGTTACGAAAGCTGCACCAATCAGCGGATCCATATCGCCAGAATGTGCGTCTA